AAAGGAAATAAACCACCTTACAAGAAAAAGTTTAGTAAACGAGAATACAACAAAGAAGATCAAGGAAAATTCCCAAGGAACAGATACGATTCTAGGAGATGGATAAAGAATCCTGAAAAAACTGGATACCATACTGACCAACCAAAATATCAAAACCCAGCATATAACCGATTCATTGACAGACAAGTTAAAAGATCTATAGAAGATTAATATTCGCTAAATTAAAAATAAAGATCTACATTGATGATGAAAAAATTAATAAAATTGTGAGTTTTGAATTACTTAACTGACATACCTCTATAAGTTATCGCGATCACGCCATTCGTGTCGAACAATGAGTATTACATATTAGCAAAGAAAATAATGAAGGTTTATACAAAGGAAAATTTTTAACAAAATTTTCGCAACAATAGATAGTCCGTGTAGCCTCCAAAATTTGTACCGCTTTTTTTTAAATCCAGATTAATGGGATTGAACATTTAGATAAATTAGTAAGAGAAAAAGTGTGTTTATTCACAATACAATTATAATGTGTTAAACTTTGTTATATTTTCTGTGTAATAGTAACAGATTGTTAGAGTTTACATATTCAACCGTTTTGACCCGAGTTGTAAATTTTTGATTTGGTTGAAGCGTTTTGACACGGGTGACATGGTTTACTATAACCCGGTTCTAAACTCTAATTTCCAGAATACAATGATAATTATCCTGGAATTAGGTCTAAAATTTGTTCCCGGACATTGTAAAGATCAATGGAGATAGGATTGGGTAGAGTAAAAGGAATTACAAAGTTACTTGGCATTCCATAATACATGCATTCCAGTGAAATTTTAATAACACATTGACCAGGTAAAATGTTAATCGGGCTGCCCGCTCGGTTTATTGTCCCAAACTCATACTAAGCAAAAAAAGAACATTAAATTCACTCAATTTTACACTAAAAAAATACAAATAATGTAACATACCATGATAGGATTGAGCGCACCCGCATCCGTTCGGTTGTTCACACAATAATGCCATGCCTATGAAGGAATGGATATTTCAATAGTTTCCAGATAAACTATGTAGAAATTAAACCTTTTTGTTATTACTTACTGTCATCTCCGTTGGAATTGATTCATCTTTTGTATATTCTAGTTTAATTCCAATTGCGTCGTGAACCCTATTCGGAAGGAGCCAATAGTTTTCTATTCTTTCCTTAAGCATCCGTTCTTCTTGGGCATAAGCAACCTCCACTATAAGATTAGGCCAAGGAAAATTCTGAAGATAAATGTTATTAACAATATTAACAATTCAGCACAATTGCATCAGCAAATCAAACATAATACAACAATTGAAAGCATTTATACCTTTCCGTCATATCCATTGCTAGTAGTTGGTGGCTTTTTAGAAGGTCGAAATGATCCATCAGGCTCTTTGCCTGATTGCGATGATTTTGATGCTATTAACCAACAATAAGTAATGAAAATATACTTAGAATATGGAATGTGAAAATAAATAAACAAAATACACAAGCAAGAAAAAAAAAAAAACTTGCTTATTGAACCATAGCTCGTCATACGAGCGGAAGTGTCCCGCACAGGATAGAACGTCACACTAAGTTCCATACTAATTGCTTGGACAGGAACCTCATGAAAGCGAGAAGGAAATTCGATAACTCGAACAGTATCCTTTTCCCACTCCCAAAACCCCTTTATATTATGTTTATCTGTTTGAATAATATAATCATCCAAGGTGACATTTGTTTTAAGCACGTATGGTAAACTGATAATAAATAAACCTAATATTAATTATAAGCTAATAAATATTGAGTAGTTAAAGTAAATAATGCTTACGTTGCATCATACCAGTGGGCCTTTGGATGAAAATTCCCAGTTTTCCACCAAAACTCGCGGAATTTATTTAGTTCTGCTTCAGGAATATTTTGCTGGTGGTGTTCTTTCTGTTCTTCCACTTCTGGAACATTATGCTGATGGTGCTCTTTCTGTTCTTCCACTTCTGGAACATTATGCTGATGTTCTTTCTGTTCTTCCATTTCTAAAGCATTACGAAGAGTTGAAACCGTCCTATGATTAAAAACGGCAGAACTTGGAGAATTCTGATTCTGCATTCCGCTAGATATAGCTGTTTTAAACAAATATGCAATATTAACAATAATAAAATTTTGATGCAAAAATACTGAAACACAACTATTCAAACACCTCTCAAAATTGTGCGACGGTAATTGCAGGTAAATTCGGACTTTTCATTCCAAAGATATGCCATATCGTCAAGAAGCTTTTAAGTATTTATTATGCGATCCAATTATTAATCACCCAATCTCCACCAGTCCTAATTGGGCGTATTTAAATGACATCTTTGACTTACAAAATCCCGTTTTGGAGCACAAGAGTACGTATTTTATACAGTTCCATTTCATTTCTCTCAATTTAACATCAAAACCTTTTACATTCCGCTGTACTTCAATTAATTGTATTTGAATTTTAGAAATTATTTTTATTTAGGATCGTGACCATGAAAACGTTACTAATCCACCAGAACTGGGACCTTTAATGTACAATGATCGATGTGTGAATATATCTATTTTGGGTTTGGCCCGAGGCAGTGCTCCCATAAAGAACAATATAGTGATTCTGGCTAAGATAGTAATATGGGTAATTATTTTTGAACATGAACTGAAATTAATACGTAGTAGCGTTTACGATGTACGTTTTTGCTCTTTTCAAAATCAAATTTCCGACATAACATGTCACTAATGCACCTAGTATCGCCACCAAAATCAGTTACGTAAGCGCTTTTTAAATTTCAATCTGCGCACAAGAATAACAGAATTACGAGATTTTTTGAAGAAATAATTGAAGTTCTTTATATATATATATTTATGCAACTTATTATAATTTATTTAATTCTCTCTACAAATTCTAAGTCAAATTGCATTCAATTCGAAATGTATATATGCATTGACACCTGAATTTAAATTTCATTTAATACACGTATGAAACTTTAAATTCAATTTAATTCTACCAGTAAAAGGTGTTTGTTACATCATCTCTAGGTTTTTGGATGCTTTTTTGCTCGTTCAAAATCTACCACTTTTTGATAAGTTTAAAATTCGATTCAATACTTCGATGCTATTTTTGTTTGGAAAATTATGACAATTGAATGTCTAAAACATAAAATTAATTAATCCCCAATCTCTATAACACCCCTAGCGTCGCCCAGAAAAAATGATAGCCGGATTTTTTGCTGGCTTACATATGACTTCGAAAACTGATTGCAGGTAAAATTATGTTTATCATGCTTAATAAACATCAGAACTTTGATTTTTGTTTTGACCTTTATTTTGAATTTCAATTGGTCTTCGATTTGACTTTCGTTTTGACTTTTATTTTGATTTTTGCTTTGACTTTCACTTTCGCTTTGACTTTCGCTTTGGTTTTCATTTTGACTCTCGCCTTGACTTTCACTTTGACTATCGATTTGACTCTCGTTTCAATTTTTGTTTTGACTTTGTCTTTGCTTTGACTTTCCTTTTGCTTTGATTTTCAGTTTAACTTTCATTTTGCTTTCACTATGACTTTAACTTTCGTTTTGACTTTGACTTTCTCTTTGTCTTTCGTTTGACTTTGACCTTCTCTCTGACTTTCGTTTTGACTTTGACCTCTTCTTTTCGTTTGACTTTTATCTTTATTTCGAGAATTTTTGCCGTGTTGAATGCACAAAAATATAACTTGAACCACACATAACAATTAAATAAGTGATTCAAGTTTGCAAACGGTTATTCCCATTAATTTAGTTAGTTGAGTATACACTTGTTCGCGTTAATTTAGCTAGTAAGTATAAAGTTTCTTTATAAATAATATCATCACACGGTACTGTACCATTAATATTTGTTTGATTCCATTGTTAAGTAGGCAGTATTAAGATTAAAACTTTCATTCGATCTTGAAAATTATTATCAACGAACTTAAAAAACACAAGTGCTTTGGTCAGGAATTTGTGAATAAAAATTCAGATATCTAGAATAGGAAAATATATTTAAATTAGGCTTTTTTTTTTTAAAAAAAAAAAAAAAGACTATTCGATTTTCAGAATTGATTCTGAATATTATTTGTCTATTCGTGTTAATTTAATTAAATATAAGATTTTGATCGATCGTTCAAGCTATTTAAGTTCACGAATATTTCATGTTCTGCCTTTGTTTTTGTAATGATAATTTTACTAGTGTAACGAATTAAATTTTTAGTTCTTTATTTTTGCTCTAAATTCATATTTTAGTCGGTAACTTTGACGCATGTACATACGTACGTACATACTTCGTGAAATTTTCAATATCGCTCCGTTCCTGTTATAAACTGTAGATCACCTGATGACCCAGATCACAGGCACCTAAAGTTGACCAATCAGAATGCTTTAAGCGGGCTGACGTTTTAGAATTTTAATAGTATAGATATAATCGTGTACTATGTAACAGATCTGGAACTTTTATACTAGGGACGTTATCCTGCTTAAACTGGTTAGTTTATGCGTTGAAACACTGTTTCGAACAATATACATAAAACTGGTTTTCGAACATAGTTTATGCAAATGTACTAATGATTGTGTTAATGATTGTGTTTATTTGAGCAAATTAATAAAAACCTGTTATTACTATTATTAGCATAAATACATGAAATTTGCATATACCGATACTGATGTTTTGCATTTACAATATCAATTACATTTAGGAATGGGCAATTCAAATTTACTGCGCAGGCCGCGCAGCCTGCATACCTTAAAGATCTCGGGATCCAATAGTTTGGTTTTGAACAATCTTGGGCTCATTGGATCATCTTATCGATGTCGTGACTAAAGTTGGCATCTGACTAAAGTTGGAACTTTAGCTGCCTGGAGTTGCACTTGACTGAAATTAGCCCTGAAATTAATCATCCTGCACGCATTAGTTAGCTGTTTTAGGCAGGTGTCAACTTCCGACAGCTGAAGTTCCAACCTCAGGCAGATGCCAACGGCCAATTTTACCGACCCAAATTACCAAGAAACGGGTGTCTAAACTTCTCTTGGGGCACTAATAAAAAATATTGTTGAGTGAGCAATTTTACCCATAATTTTTGCCCGATCCCCAACTTCTGAATACCCCTAACCCTAATTTTAAGTGCTTCGTTTTAATATCCTTCCAAATAAGGAAATTTAAAATTTAGGTCGGTAAAATTGATCGATGCC